TTTTAGTTCAGTCGGCTTCGACCAAATGACTGAAGGTATATCGACACCACAATTTGGTAAACCAACCATATAGGTTGGGCCATTGGAAGCATCCTAATCTTAATTAGTGCTGCTCATGGCCCAACCCAAACTTGGAAGGCTCTTGTATGTTGATAGCCCACTTATTCTTTCCTATTTGGGCTTTATCATCTCCTACTGGGCTTAACCTAAAATCATACCTAATCCTATATATATCTCATGCCCATTACTGTTCAACCGTGTGAGAATTATTGATAGCCCAAATTTGAGAGAGAAAAACGGCGGTATTGTATTGTGCTTCCTGCCTCTTCGAGCTACTGTTTATTCTTCTTCCCTTTGCCTTTGTGGTTAACCTGTGACTATAGTAATATTCATCCTAAGTTCCCTTTGTGGGCAGAAAACTTAGAGCAATCGTTTGGAGTAAAGGTGTTGGTTGGGTTTTCACTTTGTGGTGTCGATTGGAGGTTCTGAGTCCGGATTATTGGTGCAAAGTAGGCTCTTATTATTCACAGTGTTGAGGTGATTTTATGTCGAGAAGTTCTTTTTTGGATGCTGATTTTGGGTCTTCATTGAAGCTCTGTTTCTCTGGTTCTCCCGCTTCTACTGCTCTCTATATGGAACAATCCATCTTCTGTGCACTCTAGAAGAGAACCCTCCTTTTTTCTCCATTTCTTTCGATGCGTTTGAGGCCCAAAAGGTGAAACTTCTTTCTTAATCCCTTGTGGGTTTTATTTCTTGTGAATTTTGGAGGTTTTAATGACGGATCTGATTTATTTATTTTTCTATTTTTGTGGATTCTGTTTTGCATGACTTGTTCTGGAGTAGAGAATATTGTGGGATTTCACATAAAGAGATGAAATTTGTTCTTGCTCTTAAGAGGTCCTCTAAATTAACGCTCCTTAAAATTGGTGATGCCGATGTTGGGTGGGGAGTGGAGGCTGCCGGCGGTGACGGTGACGGTTGGGTGGAGTGGCTTTGGTTTTGGAGAAGAAGAAGATGGGGATAAGTTGTGGTTTTATTTTTTGTTTATTTTTGATTTAAATATGGGAAATGTGATTTGTCCAAAATGCCTCTGCATTATTTGAGGAAAATAATGATTTTTTTTTTAATTTAGGGAGTTAACTAAGGACCCCGTTTGATGGGCAGTTTTTTCCATGAAAGATGGAAAATAAATTCTAATTCCCACTTTTTGACATGTTTGATAGCCTAAATTTTCCAATGAAAACATCTTCTCATTTTCCCCTCACGTG